GTTGGAGGAGGAAGGTCAGCTGGGTGCTTTCTCTGCCTCTCTGAGCAGTTGGGATTTTTGTTTTTTAAAACAACGGGCAGGGTGAGCTGTGGTGGCGCACGCCTTTGATCCCAGCACTTGGGAGGCAGAGGCAGGAGGATTTCTGAGTTCGAGGCCAGCCTGGTCTACAGAGTGAGTTCCAGGACAGCCAGAGCTACGCAGAGAAACCCTGTCTCGAAACAAACAAACAACTAAATGGGCAGGTGAGGACAGAGATGCAGGTGTGTGGTAGCTTCTGATAACATTTGGCCTTTTAACCTTACAGGGAGCTCCCTTCTTTGGCTAAGAACTGGGTGATGAGGATGCTATTTCTGGAGCAGCCTCTACCACAGGCTGCCGTGGCCCTGTGGGTGAAGAAAGAGTTCAGCAAGTGAGTCCTGTGCACAGCTGGTGCGAGCTTCCCAATAGCAACCTTTCTCAAATGGCTTTTGTTTGGAACACTTCCAGGGTGCACGCATAAGGAGCTAGGGGATCAGATCTAGGGCCTTTCAACAGACCCTGCCCTACTCAAGGAAAACCCTCCAGAATACACTTGCAGTGGTTCCCACTGTGGAGAGTTGTGATCTCTCTAACTAGCTGTATTAACTAGAACACAACAAACCAAACAAAAGGAAAAGGACAAAGAAAGAAAGGAAAAAAAAAAAAAAGCAGCCCTCCCCCAAGTTGGGAGGTAGAGACCGGAAACCAGAAATTCAAGGGTTACATTGTAAGTCTGATACATTGTAAGTTTTAGGCTGTCCCAGGCTTCACAGGACCTTTTCTGAAACAAAACAAACGTTGGTGGGTTTGGGGTGTGTGTGTGGGGGAAGGAATTAAAAAACAAAACGGAGAAACAAACAACAATTAAAACCGACAGGAGAAACAAACAACAATTAAAACCGACTAGGTTCTCCTTAGCATTGCAGTGCAGGTATCTGAGGTGAGAAACAGCTTCACTCTGCGACATTGTTACAAGGCCCACGCATTCAGAGGAGATCGTGGTGGCGCTCCCTTTTCTATTAGTGACATCCCTACGTAACTCTGCTCCTGTCCAGGGCTCAGGAGGAAAGTACGGGGCTGCTAAGTGGCCTCCGTATCTGGCATACCCAGCTGCTCCCCGGTGGACTCCAGGGCCTCATCTTGAACCCTGTCTTCCGCCAGAACCTCCGGATTGCCCTTCTGGGTGGGTACGTCATTCTTCTCTCTTCCTGAGCTAGGCCAGGGGAACTGCTTATTACACAGATGGGGGAGAAGCTCCTGAGAGAGGCCTCCCAGAACCTCTCCCCACCCCCACGCCTTCAAAAGCTCTTTCAAGAATACATTGGACCAGTTATGGATGTAGGGTGCAGAAAATGTCCCTCCCCCCCTTTTTTATAATGGTCCATGGTGTGAGGGTAAAAACCTAGGGAAGCAGGAAACAGACAGGGCTCCTTACTGCTGTCCATCCTGGCCACAGGGGTAAGGCCTGGTCTGATGACACAAGTCAGCTGGGACCAGACAAGCACGCCCGGGACGTCCCCTCATTGGACAAGTATGCCGAGGAGCGCTGGGAGGTGAGGAGCCGGCCTCTGCGGGCCTCCGCTGTGCGCCTGTTACCCCTGCGAGCTGAGGGGCTGTCCTCCGCTGTGCTCCCGATCCCTCTGGGATGTGAGGAGTGGGCCTCTGCTCCTCTTCCTGCAGGGAGGTGAGGAATGGGCCTCTGTGGGCCCCCGTAGACCTCCGCTGTGCGCTGGTTCCTCCTGGGAGGTAAGCAGCAGGCCTCTGCTGTGCTCCCGTTCCCTCTCGGTTGTGAGGAGCCGGCCTCCGCTGTGTGCCCATTTCCGGTAGCCCTGGAGATCCCAGTCTCCTGACCCTTTTCGTCTCTAGGTGGTCTTGCACTTCATGGTGGGCTCCCCCAGTGCAGCTGTCAGCCAGGACCTGGCTCAGCTCCTCAGCCAGGCCGGGCTTATGAAAAGGTGAGGAGGGCAGGCAGGGCATGGCCGCTCTCTGCTCGGCCATCTCTTTGGGTCTCAAATAAAGTGGGTGTCTGGGTTTAGGAGGGAGCGGAGAGAGTTGGCTGAGAGGAGAGGCCTAAGTGGGTATAAGCAGACACTGTAGCCTTTGCAAGCTGCTACCATCGTCAGCGCGCTCTGTCTCTAGCACTGAACCTGGAGAGCCACCCTGCATCACTTCCGCTGGCTTCCAGTTCCTGCTTCTGGACACGTCTGCACAGCTCTGGTACTTCATGCTGCAGTATCTGCAGACAGCCCAGGTGAGAGCCGGGGCCTAGGACAGACAGTGTGCTCACTCTGCTTAGGACCTACTGAGTACAGACCAGCCCACTGTGCTCCTTAACTCCCTCTTCCTGTCTCACCTCCTGTTGTTCTGCCATTTCCTCCTCAGAGTCGGGGCATGGATCTAGTGGAGATTCTCTCCTTCCTTTTCCAGCTCAGTTTCTCTACTCTTGGCAAGGTAAGTAGGGAGCTGGAGGTCAGGGAGGTAGGGAGAGGTTATGGAGGAAAACAGTAATGGCCACAGAACCACCTAAGAAGGCAAGAGAAGGAGGGGACATAGGGCTGGGTTGTGACCTGTGGATGTGTCGTAGTCCCCAGCTGGCTATTTCTTCACCAGGACTACTCTGTGGAGGGTATGAGTGATTCATTGTTGAACTTTCTACAACACCTGCGTGAGTTCGGGCTTGTTTTCCAGAGGAAGGTATGGACACCCAGCCACCTGCCCCTGGAATAGTAGGGTGTTTGAGGTGTAGCCGAAAGTCCTAGCCAGGACTGAGTGCTTGGGTCATTTGAGGGGGGAAGTTAAAGGCTGATGGTTTCATAGGAGGGCGTTGAATGTCTAACAGGAGGGTGGTTATCAGAAAGAGGACCCCCATCTTGCCCTGTGTTCTTCCAGAGGAAGTCCCGACGGTACTACCCCACACGCCTGGCCATCAACCTCTCATCTGGTGTCTCTGGGGCTGGGGGCACTGTGCACCAGCCAGGCTTCATTGTCGTGGAAACCAATTACCGACTGTATGCCTATACCGGTGAGTCTGGGTGGGGGTGGATGGGTAGGAAGTAGGGAGGGGAAGGACATAGGAGAAAATGGCCGCATTTACTGGGTGGTTTTTGTAGCTCCCCGGCATTTATTCCTATACTTGAGGGCGGGGCTAGAGGAAGGCGGGGCGGGGTAGCCTCCTCATTTCTCCTCCTTCATCCCTGGGTCAGAGTCGGAGCTGCAGATCGCTCTCATTGCTCTTTTCTCTGAGATGCTCTATCGATTCCCCAACATGGTGGTGGCACAAGTGACCCGAGAGAGCGTGCAGCAGGCCATTGCCAGCGGCATCACAGCTCAGCAGGTATCCCTACGTGGACTGGAGGTCAGGGAGGGGTTGTGCTTGTCCTGGGCGGCCAAGATATTCCTGTCACGGAAGCATAGCCTCAGGCCTGTCAGGAGAGATGGCGAGTCACCTGGGTACCTGGGAAGTCATGAAGCGGGAGGCAGTCTGGCTCTGAATCTCTTACTCCACTGTTCACGGCTGCCTTATCTCTGCGAGCCTTACTCTGCTCCCAGTAAACAGCAGTCCACCTCCTGGGGTGCTGGAAGACTAGATGTTAAGACACTTAGCTTAGAGCCTGCCGAGCAGTAAGTGCTCAAAATATGATAGCTAGTGCCATCTTAAAGAAAAACAAGGTGAGACCATGGAGAGAATAGATGCATCATGGAGTGGGTCACAGGTGTGACCAGTGGGAGGTGCACCTGGAAGTAACAGCCAAACAGGCATGGTTCCTGTCAGAGGCTTGTGGCTAGGAGAACACGGGAGATGCTGTTTCAGTGACATTAGGTGACCGTGCAGATGACTTTCTACATCCTTGTGTTTTCCTAGATAATCCATTTCCTAAGGACAAGAGCACACCCAGTGATGCTCAAACAGGTATGGGTGGGTACTGAGACTCTGGAGGCTGGCAGCCTGGGCACCTAGCTGCGAGCGGATGGATGAGAAACCAGAGACTGCTTTGGGCATCTGCCCTGGTCCTATAGCTTCACCCTTGTCCTTCAGACTCCTGTGCTGCCCCCCACCATAACAGACCAGATTCGGCTGTGGGAGCTGGAAAGGGACAGACTCCGGTTCACTGAAGGTGAGTGTCTTCTGCTGACCTAACCTCGGGCATTGGCTAAAGAGGTAAGGCTGGCAATTTCGCCACGATAAACGCAAAAGGGTTTGTGCGTTTCATATCTGTTTCCCCATAGGGAAGGAGAGGAAAACTGATCTTTTGATACATTGGTAGCAGGAAATATGTCCCAAATCGATGCAGTTTGGATTAATTAAGCTAGGTGGAGGGATAAGAGGCAGGGTATTCAGTCTTCTAAGTGGGTTTGCATGGTTTTTCTTTTGGATTCTGTTGTCTTTTCGAGTGTCTGGATGCCACGGGTGTTAAGGTGTTAACAGTCGACTATCCGTAGAAACTTAGTCCTAAGAACTGTGGCCTGCAGCCCCTGCCTGCATGCTGCTCGGAGGGGCCGAGACCACTGCAACCCCTCACCTCCTGCCTGTCCCACCCGACCCCAGGCGTCCTGTATAACCAGTTCCTGTCGCAAGTGGACTTTGAACTGCTGCTGGCCCACGCGCGGGAGCTGGGCGTGCTCGTGTTCGAGAACTCGGCCAAGCGGCTGATGGTGGTGACGCCAGCGGGGCACAGCGACGTCAAGCGCTTTTGGAAGCGGCAGAAGCACAGCTCCTGAGGCGACCCCGGGCGGGCAGCTTTCTAACTCAGGTGTATTTTGTTTACACACCGGGACATTTCTTGTTTAATAAAATTATGGAAAAAAAAAAAAAGCTATGCGGCTGCTGACGCCTGCTTGCGTTTCCCCATCCAACGCGGTGATACCCGCTTCAACACAGTCCCAGAAGCGAGTCTTCTACGCATGCGCCCGCGTAGCCCCGCCCACCCATGCGCGCGCACCTCGGCGGTGCTCCTATCGGCTCTGAGTTCGCCGCGGCGTTCGGGATCGAGTCGCATGGTCCAGGTTCAGGGGGTGTCCCTGGTTTCCGAACCCCAACCTTCGTGTCCGCGTCGGTGCCCGGTGACGGGCAGAGCGCCCCCCCTTCCCCTGAAGCCCTGGTTGCAGTGACTCGAGAATGCTGTCCACACCGTGCGGCTCGCCCCTAGGCGGAAGGACGTAGAGTGAGAGGGTCCTGCGGATGGGAGCGAAGGGTTGTGACCTCCAGCACCCCATGACCTCCTAGTAGCTGACCTCCATCCTTTCCCAAACACTCCCCATGCCTCACTTACCTCTGGCCTCTTTCCGGCCACCGGTCTGGGGGCTGAGGCCCTCATGGGGTCTCTCCAGGTCCCAGGCACTTTGTACACAGCCGGAGCCTCACGGCTCCCCCGTCTCTCGGAGAAACCGCGAAGCCAAACAGAAGCGCCTGCGGGAGAAGCAGGCGGCCCTGGAGGCTGGGCTGGCTGAGAAGAGCAAGGTCAGGGGTCAGTCCTTGGGTCTCCTAAGACTTGGGAAGGGACTGAAGGAGACTGGCGCTGGGATCCATGACTGTGGTGTACTGTGAATTGCAACCTCCTCCACACACCTCTGTTGCCTCCCTGCAGATACCTGCAGTGCCCACTAAGGCCTGGAGTCACAAGGAAGTAGTATTGTATGAAATCCCCACCGGGCCAGGCGAAAAGAAAGGTAAAGGGTAGGGAATATTTTGCGATGTTGTTGCTCTTTGGTCTGCTAACATGCAATTGAGTCGTGGATCTCTCGTGCTCCCACAGATGTTTCTGGGCCCCTGCCTCCTGCTTACAGCCCCCAATATGTCGAAGCGGCCTGGTACCAGTGGTGGGTGCGAGAGGGCTTCTTCAAACCAGAGTATCAGGTCAGTGCGCGGTAGAGGGACAGAGTGAGTGGCCCTTCAACTTCGGCTAACTTCACAGCTGATCTTTATTTCTTTTGGCCGCTGGCTTTCCTTTTGCTTTCCCCATGTTGAAGGATTTCCCTTGTATTATTATTATTTTTGTTTTGTTTTTCGAGACTGGGTTTCTCTGTGTAGCCCTGGCTGGCCTGGAACTCACTCTGTAGACCAGGCTGGCCTCGAACTCAGAAATCCGCCTGCCTCTGCCTCCCGATTATTATTATTATTATATTTTGAGACAGGGTTTCTAGGTGTAGTCCTGGCCGTCCTGGAACTCTATAGACGAGGCTGGCCTCAAACCCAGAGATCCACCTGCCTCTCTCTACGTGTGCGCCACTACACCTGGCCTCCTTGTTCCTTTGGCCCCAAGGCACCAGAGGGTGCTGTTCTCCTAGGCAACATCCAGTTCCCTCTGGCTTCTGACTTCCTCATTCCTTCCAGGCAAGGCTGCCCCAAGCTACAGGGGAGACCTTTTCCATGTGTATCCCACCTCCCAACGTCACGGGCTCCCTGCACATCGGCCATGCGCTCACGGTGGCGATCCAGGATGCACTTGTGCGCTGGTGAGAGACGACGGGCCCGCGGCAGTTCCTGAAGGGAAGGTTGGAAGTGCTGGGCTGAGGATAAGGGAGCTCAGGGGTCCCCATGGTGTTTCCGTGGCAGGCACCGGATGCGTGGGGATCGCGTGCTGTGGATCCCCGGGTCAGATCACGCAGGAATCGCTACACAGGTGGGTCTTGCGCCGCCTCTCTCTCCTCTGCTTGGTTGAAAGTGCTGTCTCTGTGCCGCTGACTAGCTTTCGTTTACACCGGATCCCACTTCAGGCCGTGGTGGAGAAACAGCTGTGGAAGGAGCAGAGGGTGCGGAGACACGAGCTGAGCCGGGAAGACTTCCTCAGGGCCGCGTGGCAGTGGAAACAGGAGTACGATGGCGGGGCGTGGGTGACTGGCCGAGGCTTTGTTTGTCCGCACTACTTCTGACTCGTAGGATTCGGCTCTTCCTGCCTCATGCAGAGGGACTGACGGATGGGGTGTCTGAGCCAAGAGTGTGTGTGTGTGTCAGAATGTACATGTTTGTCTGTATACTTTGTTCACATTAGAATGCACACTCGTGTGTACTATGCTCATGTTAAAATGCACACACTTGTGTGTGTGTGCTATGCTCACCTTAGAATGGCACACACCTGTGTACTATGCTCATGTTAGGATGCACACACTTGTGTGTGTGTGCTATGTTCACATTAGAATGGGACACACCCGTGTACTATGCTCATGTTAGAATGCACACATTTGTGTGTGTGTACTATGCTCATGTTGTGTGTGTGTGCTATGCTCACCTTAGAATGGCACACACCTGTGTACTATGCTCATGTTAGGATGCACACACTTGTGTGTGTGTGCTATGTTCACATTAGAATGGGACACACCTGTGTACTATGCTCATGTTAGAATGCACACATTTGTGTGTGTGTACTATGCTCATGTTGTGTGTGTGTGCTATGCTCACCTTAGAATGGCACACACCTGTGTACTAAGCTCATGTTAGAATGCACACTCATGTGTACTATGCTCATGTTAGAATGCACACATTTGCGTGTGTGTACTATGCTCACGTTAGGTTACACACATTTGTGTGTATATGAAAGGATATATACAAATGTGTGTGTTTGTCAACCTTGTCTTGTTTTCCCTTGGACTTCATCACTTCTCCCACCCCAGCCCCTATATCTGTGGTCACGTTCTTCCCCTACACACACACACACACACACACACACATTTTTCACAAAGTGGCTGCTCCTGCTAGGTGTGTACAAGCCGTGGCTGATGGGCCTCTTGTGTGGATTGTAAACTTAAAACATTTTGAGGACTTTTTGTGGATTCCTTCCTTCCTTCCTTCCTTCCTTCCTTCCTTCCTTCCTTCCTTCCTCTTTCTTCCTTTCTTTCTCTTTCTTTTTCTTTTTTTTTTACTGCATAATTCTCAAATGTGAGCTTTTTACATGGCAGTGACATGTTTCAGTGCTATGCAGAATGTATGTATGTATGTATATGCATGTTTGTGCTCACAACCCATGGGCTACACCTTAGACATCACTGGTTGTAGCCCAAGACTGTCATCCATCCTGTGTGTCTCAGAGAAGCCAAAGGTTTAGATGCCCCTGCAGAGACCTTTCTGTGTCATTTAAAGCCATAGGAAGCCCCACCCCAGGTGTGTGGTTCTGTCTCCATCAGCGGGGTCAGTGCCACCTGTACTTTATTTCCTCTGGTACCTGGCATTGGCGAGCACCCATGGTTAGTGCTGGGAGGTGCCCTGGTCATATTTACTGACAGGAATCTCTGGTGCAGGAAAGGAGGGGAGATCTATGAGCAGCTCTGCGCCTTGGGCGCCTCTCTGGACTGGGATCGAGAATGTTTCACCATGGATGCCGTGAGTTCACGTCACAGTCCCTGTGGGTTTGGGGAGGGTGCCAGAGACCATGTGGGAAGTGTTGGGAGAGGGATGAGGGAGTCCCTTGGTTCAGCCGAGGGAGGATGTCAGGTGTGGACACTCAGATCATTCCAGGGCTCCTCAGCAGCCGTGACGGAAGCTTTCGTGCGACTCTATGACTCGGGATTGTTGTACCGGAGCCGCCAGCTCGTCAACTGGTCATGTACTTTGAGATCGGCCATCTCAGACATTGAGGTGAGGGAGAGGAAAAAAGACAGGCTGACGGACCGAGGTCCTTGCCGCCTCTGGCAGTGTCTGTGATTGATTTTCTCACATTCTAATCACTCTGCTTCTTCACCTGCCAATCAAAGGGTGACATGATGACCTGTAGGGACAGTGTAAGAGTCAGAATTCTTGCAGTGCTCAGAAGAGTGAGCAGCCACGGCTTGTGAGCTCCGTGGCTTTACTCTGGAAGACGGCTCCTGGGCCCTCTGGGTGGGAGGGCAGGGAAGCAGGATGGAGAGCTGTAGGAATCCTGGATGTGAGCACCACAAAAAGACTGCTCTCTCTCCTGCCTCCTCAACCCTCCAGGTGGAAAGCCGGCCCCTGCCTGGCCGCACGGTGCTGCAGCTGCCCGACTGCCCAACCCCTGTGACTTTTGGGCTCCTTGCTTCTGTTGCTTTCCCTGTGGATGGAGAGCCTGGTGAGTGAGGTCCTGAGAGTTGCCCTCTTCTCTCTGCTTCCCGTTTTCTTGAGTGCATGAGGTTTCCGGGACCCCTGGTAGGTTTGCACTGTAGTGGGTACTTACTCTGGGGGAGGAAAAGGCATGCGACCCTCTTCTTTGGGAGCCTAGTGTGACTCTGTGAGGTCTTCCACTAAGAGGTGAAAGATCAGTTCTGAGCTACTGACGGTGTACCTGTGGTCACAGCATTTGGGGGCAGAGGTGGGAGGATTCCAAGTTCAAGGCTTACCTGGTCTACATAGAAAGTTCCAAGCCAGCCCCTTCTTTGTAAAACAATGCAGACGATTAGTTCTAAAGTGTAGCTTGTAAGCGCTCCAGATAGTTCAGAGCAGGGAAGGAGTCAGGATGCTCCCCCTATCCTCCCTTCCCTCCTCCTTCCTGCTGCAGCTCCCCCTGCCTCCCCTGTGTGGGGGAGAGGGAGTGGGGTGATAGCTGACCTCAGCGCTTGAATGCTTGTCTCCAGACACAGAGATTGTGGTGGGAACCACCAGGCCAGAGACCCTGCCTGGAGACGTGGCTGTGGCCGTTCACCCAGACGACCCGAGATACACGGTGAGCAGGGTCTGCCTGCACCAGGCCCTCCCACCCCACAGGGCCCCCTTCTTGTTAGACGCTTCGGAGACCCCTCCTCTCACCCCTGTGGTGGCTCTAACTAACCACGGCCTCCAGACTGAACGCAGCTGCTGCCCTTCTGTGTCTCAGCCACACTAGTTGGCTTATGTTTCCTATGGCTGCCTTCCTGGCTCACTCGGAAGTCTGATGCTGGGTCTTGCTCTAACCCCTGCCTTGTGCTTGCTACCTCTTGCTCTAGGGTGGTCACGGCCCAAACCCTCTGTCCCATACTCCTGCCTGTTCCTAACTGCCCATCTTCTCTTTAGCATTTACATGGGCGACAGCTCCGTCACCCTTTGACAGGACAGCTTCTCCCCCTCATCACAGACACCACTGTTCAGCCACATGTGGGCACAGGTGTGTGGAAGTCAGGGGTCCAGGGAGGGAGGGAAGGGAACAGGAGGAGGAGAATGTGAGAGCTGGAGGTAGGGATGATGGAGGCAGGAGGGGATGGGGCCTGGGATGTGGTAGGGATGATGGAGGCAGGAGGGGATGGGGCCTGGGATGTGGGGATGATAGAGGCAGGAGGGGATGGGGCCTGGG